GGGCAGAAATCATGTTCATGGATGAGCTAATGATTTATTAACGTAGTAGAATGAAGCAGGGTGAGGCTGAAAGCCATCGAAGCGAAACGAGGCGCTGAACGAGTGCGACACGTGGCTCGAAAGCAGCGGAGCTTTTATTATGCCACAGTCGACCGCTTCCGCTCCTTCCGGTCGTGTGTATGTGGGGTAAAGCAGCGCTGTTTTATCATACTAGATATGTTTGAAAGTTCTGTTATAATGCTACTCTGTGCGGTCGTCACCGGTCTATTAAAACGCACAACATATTAAAGCGTATGTTTTCCATGTTTTCTACAAAACAAAACCGGAAATCGAGGGCTTATGACGTCATTGGCAGGCGACACAGTGACACTATAGACACGCTCCGTGTCACTAGTTAAAATTGCTTATTTCTCTGGATTTAAACATTCTTCGAAACATTTGGGATAATGTAAGTACACAAGTCAGCTAAATATATAACACTGTTCTAGTGGTTTTTGGATATTTTAATAAAAATATTTTACATATTGTGCCTTTAAGTCATTTAACAAAAATGCACAAACATTAAAATACATACTGAATATCATCAGAGGACCAAAAATATTGCAATATGCTTATGTATTAAATACTTTGTTTGACCCAGAACTTCTGTCCAGACACTTGGATTTTTTATTGAAATATTTTATTGATTTTATTAAAATCAAACAACAAATACCACCTTTTTATTTATTGCATACCATAATATAAGTTTTTACAGTTTTTGCTTCTGTTTTTAACTTATTTTTTCTTTATTGTGGGAATTGGAAAATGTGCAAAAACTACTGTCCAAACACTTTTTAAACATAAATTAAAATAGTTTATTGATTTTATTAAAATTAATTTATATAATTTAAAACAACAGATGCCACACAGATGCAATAAATAAATTAGGTTTTACAGTATTGCTTATCTTTTTAATTTAGCTTTTTTTCCACTTTAGGAATTGGAAAATGTTCTTGCAATGAAATAAATAAATAAAAAAGCAGTCAAAGGACTGAAAATATTGAATTATGTTTGTATTATATATTTCATATTTGACCCAGAAGGGAATTGGAAAATGTGATTGCAAATGTAAAAAAAAAAAAAAAAAAGGATCTTTTGATTTATGGGTGAAATTTCATCTGGACATGTTATCATCCATGTTCTTGACAGTATTGATGAGACTGACCTCTGAAGTGAAGTCGTGTTGTTCTCGTGTGTTCAGTCATGCTATTTTGATTTCTTTGACAGGTTGAATGACTCCGGGCTGCTGTCCCATAAAGAGCATTTGCCGGTGCGAGCGCTGGCTGTGGGTGACATCAACAGATCTGGTTCAGAAGCGGCCTACAGAGTGGGACCCCTGCAGTGTTACGGTGACAGTAAGTACCTCACTAATCACACTGTGAGCGCTTACTCTGTCATTCTGTCAAACCCACCACCGCTACATCAGCTCTGGCTGGATTGGCATTTCATGTGCTTAATGAAAACCACAGGCCAACTATATAAATACTGCTACTGTAAATGTTTTCTCCAGATAACTTCTGGAACGCTGCCTACTTCAACAAGGAGACGTCGTACCTGCACTTTCCCACGTTCCACGGGGAGCTGAGCGCCGATATCTCCTTCCTGTTTAAGACCAGCTCTTCATCGGGAGTGTTTCTGGAGAACCTGGGGATCAAAGACTTCATCCGGATCGAACTGAGCTGTAAGTGCGTTCAACCTTCCGGTTTATTCCTCTGAATCTCACAAAAACCTGCCAAGATGTTTCAGCATGAAATAAAAAGGAACCGTTTTTGTTTTTTGACGGACCATTAAGAATTTTGTTTTTCAAATAGTAATTAAGTACCCCCAAAGTCTTAAAAGAAAAGCTCATTCTTATTCATTTAATTTGGGAGTATATATATATATATATATATATATATATATATATATGCACAATATAAATTATATAAATATGAATACAATTATTATTAAAAGTAGTTTAATGACAATTAGAAGTTAATAATTGAATAAAATGTAATATATATATATATATATATATACAGTATATATATATATATATATATATTAGGGGTGTAACGGTACACGGGTCTTTCGGTTCGGTACGCATGTGTACCGAACATGTCGTTCCATTTTTTTCAAGAAATTCAGACAATAAATGCCAATGTTTTGGCGCTCTTTGATGAGGCGCGACAGCTCGCTGTATAAATGGCTCAGTTCTGACAGCAGGACGGTGCGCAAGTGAGCGTGATCATCCCTTCCTCTTTATTACTAGTTTTAACGCGAAATATACATTAATAAATAAATTTCACCGAACATCTCACCTCTCACATAATCGCTCAATTAGTGTTTCAACCGCGGACCTCATTAAAACAGCTTGTTAACAAAATGTCACGTAGCATTTCATTTACCTCAGGCAAGTCATCAGTGTCTACAGCTAGTGAAGTCTAGTGAAGAGCATTTTGCGAAATATTAGACTAAAAAAAAAAAAAAAAAGGATCTTTTGATTTATGGGTGAAATTTCATCTGGACATGTTATCATCCATGTTCTTGACAGTATTGATGAGACTGACCTCTGAAGTGAAGTCGTGTTGTTCTCGTGTGTTCAGTCATGCTATTTTGATTTCTTTGACAGGTTGAATGACTCCGGGCTGCTGTCCCATAAAGAGCATTTGCCGGTGCGAGCGCTGGCTGTGGGTGACATCAACAGATCTGGTTCAGAAGCGGCCTACAGAGTGGGACCCCTGCAGTGTTACGGTGACAGTAAGTACCTCACTAATCACACTGTGAGCGCTTACTCTGTCATTCTGTCAAACCCACCACCGCTACATCAGCTCTGGCTGGATTGGCATTTCATGTGCTTAATGAAAACCACAGGCCAACTATATAAATACTGCTACTGTAAATGTTTTCTCCAGATAACTTCTGGAACGCTGCCTACTTCAACAAGGAGACGTCGTACCTGCACTTTCCCACGTTCCACGGGGAGCTGAGCGCCGATATCTCCTTCCTGTTTAAGACCAGCTCTTCATCGGGAGTGTTTCTGGAGAACCTGGGGATCAAAGACTTCATCCGGATCGAACTGAGCTGTAAGTGCGTTCAACCTTCCGGTTTATTCCTCTGAATCTCACAAAAACCTGCCAAGATGTTTCAGCATGAAATAAAAAGGAACCGTTTTTGTTTTTTGACGGACCATTAAGAATTTTGTTTTTCAAATAGTAATTAAGTACCCCCAAAGTCTTAAAAAATGTCACGTAGCATTTCATTTACCTCAGGCAAGTCATCAGTGTCTACAGCTAGTGAAGTCTAGTGAAGAGCATTTTGCGAAATATTAGACTAAAGACTCTATTTTACTTTACCTGTTAGTGATGTCTTAATTATTTCATGTATGTTTAAATAAATATTTTATAAAAACAAGTTATGACAGCCACTCTGTAAATTATTATATTTCAACAACAAATAGAAATTGTATAATTTAGAAGTTATTTTAAAAACAATTTACATGTTTGCATACATTTTTTTAATTTGAGTGTTGATTATTGTAGTTAAAAATAAATAGTAATTGAATATAAGTTTGGGCTCTGTTGTTAATTGTAACCTTATAGTAATGTAAAAGGGCTCCCTTTAGTTTAAAGCAGAAGCTGACGTAGACTTTTATCCCTAAGGAAATTTTAATTATAATTTAATTTATTTTCAAAAAGAGCAATTTGTTCAGTAAACCATTGTTTAATAAAAAAAAAAAAAAAAGCAATTTATGTTTAGTTGTTTCCTGCTGCTGTACCGAAACCATACCAAACCGTGACGTCAAAACCGAGGTATATATATATGTTAGGGCTGGTAATCAATTAAAAATTTTTTATCTAATTAATGTGGCGATTAATTAATCTAATTAATCGCAAATTAATCGGACATCAAATTTGGCTGACAAATTGCTCCCAAAAGATAATTTTAAGTCATTGTTGTGTAAAGCCTCAAACAGACATTACAAAAAGTAGCTTCAGCAAGAAATATTTTCACAACTGATCCTGAGATTGCTTCGTCGAGGTAGTTGAGAATGCGAATGCTCTGTTCTCTCAAGGGAACAAGGGGTACCTCCGCAACTTACGTGAAGACACGGGGCAACAGGGACAGCCCGGAGGGCAGGACCT